TTGGCAAACACGCGCATGAACCCCCAGGCATTGGGGTGCAACTGCGAAGGCGCAACCCTTAGATGAGATAGCACTCCTATCTCAAAATCAGTAAAGGGAAACCTAACTTTCTGGTCTGTGAAATGAGTCTTATAAGTTAGAAAACGCCATTGAGAAATCTCCTTGGGGCCAGGTTTGTCACAAACTCGAGTGTCTGAACTCACAGACTTAAAATCCCACTTGTGGTCATCAATTCCCCCCTCGGTAAAGTAAAAATTCCTCTCATTTTCGTAATCTTTGACCAAAGCAGCACCCTCAACATACCAAGATTCCGCCTCCAAAACTTCATCATCCACCCAGTTACGAGCCAAATAGCGCTCGTTAGTTTCCACAATCGCCATGCGCCGTTAGAATCTCGGCTATTAGCAGACCTGGGATGAGGGTTAAACACAGTCAAACGCCAAACACGATAGTCGGCATCAAAGAAGATTACAAGCTTACAATTGACAAATTACTCGTGGCTCACATCTCACCCTCATGCCTCACACACAGCCTCATAACTCGCGCAATGCTTAGTTCACTCTCTACGCCGTTAACGCGTGCCCTACAATAGAATAAACCTAGCATCGCTACATATTCAAAGTGGAAAGTTACCTGGAGAGTCTGAAGTTTCGGACTCAGATGTGTAAAAATCTGAGTGTGTAAGTGGAGAGGGCCACCAGGCGGGTGGAATTTTGTACAATCCTATGTCATCAAAGATGGCATCCCACACGCCATAGCGAGTGAGCCGAGCATCTTCTGGATGAAATCTACCCAATCGATTGTCGGTTGACTCATCGTACATGCGGCGATGAAAAGAATTGGATATCGGAGGAATATAACTATTTGAGGTGCGTAAGGCGACATGTGGGTTAACCCTGGAATAGTATGTATGTAGCGATTGAGTTTGGATACGCATTTCCATTGGGCGATATCGGGGATCACAGTTGATAGAAGATACTGGGCGAATAAGTCGTCCAGCACCGAAGGACGAACGCGCGACGAACGACGGTAAGGACGGGACCTGCGACCACCAGATGAACGATTGGAGGACCTCATAAACCTATCCTGGGGAATGAGAGAAGAAGGCTCGCGCTGATCCCCCTCAGAGGGGAAACTACTAACCCTTCCGGCACGGTTACTAGTCCCAGAAGCTTCACCAGAATAGGGAACGACAGCCCCCAGAGCTCTTTCCGGCAGAAGGTCTAAAATCTCACTCTCACTGAAACCTAACAACTCAGGTACCCTACCGTAGGGTAGAGAACTAACCCCAGGAACTAAAGGGGTAGGAGAGAGAATGCTACCACCACTCCAAAGAGGGCGGTTGGCAAGATACCTACGCATAGCAGGTCCTACCTCAATGCTGTCAAGTGAGTCAAGCACCTCATCAAACTCCTCCTCTTTAATAGTTTCTCCTAACCCAAGTAACTCTTCAGCCGACATCTCACTAAACTTAACCATAACTGAGGAAAGAAAGCAGAAGCAAGAAATAAAATCTCAAGGTAAAGAGAAAGGAGCGAAGAACAACGTACCTGTAACTAAAGAGTTTCTGAAAGAAGGAAGAAAAGAAGGAGTCCTAACCACCAGAAGTCCTTACACAGGAACAACAGAACCAGAGAATGTGCAGCAATAAGTAAAACCTTAAAGCCCAATGGAAAGTTGCGAAGATTAATGCAGGTGAAAAAGGAGAAAGCTGAGTATGAACAACACCAGAGGTTGACGAAGGTTGCAGAGAAAGCTTATAAGATTTTGAAAGAAGTGGGTAAGAACAAGGTTAACGTTCTTATAAGAGAAGAAGGTCTATTCATCAACGTACACGTGGAGGGTCAATAAAGGGTAACCGCCAGATCGTGACAACCGTCAAGCGACAAGTGGCCCTGATGGAGGACCCTTAGGTAATTTTGGGGTGACAAGACGAGGCTCACGTCGAAATTAATGCGCCGTACTGCGCAACGAAGGGTTTCGTGCAGTTATTGCAATGGCGAAACTGCCATCATTACAACTCTTTGAAAACCGTAAAAGTTAATCGTCACTTTTGACAAGTGTACAACCCATACCAAGCGACACGAACCAAGTATCCCACTGCACTCCCACGATTAAGGACGCCTCATCAACCGTAAGCTCATTCTGATAATTACCTGACGCCCAAAGAACAATCGTGACATCAAACCGGTCAGACAGCCTATTAACTGGCCATAACCTAGTCCAGCTGATGCCTTAAGGTTAGCCCTATAAACAGTCTCGCCTTGGTCAGGTGTTCATGACAACCTATCTTGGCACCAAGCAATGCTTGCTACCAAGCTGGGGGGCTCCTGTTCCGGATGGCTTAACCACATCCGAAGCCCAAAGGCCTTGTAACATGGATGGCCCAGTTTCACAGAGCCCCAAACAGCCTAAGCCCGAAACCCCAAGTTATATACACGTCAGCCCTACCGGTTGGCCATAGACGCATGCCCCAAGGCAGCTCGCCTCCCAAGGTAAGAAACCAAAATGTCTTACCTTGGAACCCCATATGCTCTGCGGGTCGCCCAGAGACCATAAGTGGAAACCGCCCTGCTGCCGCATGCTGACATCGCCCGAGAGCAGACTCTGCATCGTAGCAGCGCCTGGCGTGTCAGCCCCTCATAACAAATCCCAAGGAGCGTTGACCTCCAATACGTAAGCCCTAACGGATCAGACTCCTGGACTCCTATAAATACCACCCTTGAGCACAAAGAAAGGACTACCTTTTATGTACTGTTATTATGCCCATTTACTTCCAAGTTATACTCTTACATTTGTCTGCCATTAATATCAGCTTACTACCCCTTGGAATACTACATTCTAGCCTGGTCTTTACCTCAGCTAGGGGTATAATCCATATAGTAACATTACCCTCAAGGGTACATAGTGGGCTCATAGTATCGAACGGTACACCACCCAATTTTTATTGGTAACGTCAATCAAGGTTATCAAACTCGAACCAGCAATTGCAGTGGCAGATTAATGATTTTTTATAATAAGAGATGAAAATAAATTTTAAATATTATCAAGATTAATAAAAATTAATATTTTTTAGAGAGAAAATAACTATTAGTATTAATAGCCTATTATTATTAAAAAATATTATTTTATATAAAAAATAATAAAAAATTAAAATTTAGGGAGAGGCAGCCGTCAATCTAGCCCTTCCCTCGGTCCACCCATAGGTCATCGATTAGGTCGAAATATTAGGTCAATTGGTCACCGTTCAACTAAAGGGCAATGGTTCAACTGCTTGAAATAAATATATATAATAAAATTTAATAATATAAAATTAGAGGAATTATAACTAATAAATAGGATTGATTTAGTGGTAATGTAGTAAGTTATACAGGTTTAGCAGCAGTTGAATCCACTTATAACACCGCTGCAAGTAGGGGTGTAAATGGGTTAGGCCAGCTTACAGGGGCCTACGACCTAGCCTATATTAGGCCAGACTTGGCCTATTATAAATAGTAAAATAGAACAGGCCTAGGCTTTTAAAAAAACCTATATAGAAAACAGGTCATAGACTTTTTTGTCCATATCGAGCCTATAAGCCTACAGGCCGGCCTATATTATATTATTTATTTTAAATAAAATAAATAAAATTATTATTTTAATAATTTTGAATAAGAAAATAATATTATTTTAATTATTATTTTAATTGTTGAATGTTTAATAAGCTTAAACAAGCTAACAGACTAAGCCAAGGCTTTTATTTTTTAAATATAGGTCATGCTAGACTTATAATTGGGGCCTACACAGGCTAACAGAACAGGCCAGACACAACATTTTTTACACAGACCTAACCAATTTAAGTCAAAGCCTAGCCTAGCCCAGCCTATTTACACCCCTAGTTGCAAGCATATTTTTTATTTTTTTAAATTCCACATAATCAGTTTTTTTTTTTTAAAAAAAATGATGCCAGTTTAACAGCGGTTGAACCCGATTCAGAACCGGTTCACTAGTTTTATATAGGGTCAAATGTATAATCAATCCAATACCTGAATCGAACCAGTTAGGAGTCTGGTTTACAGGTCAATGAGTCAAACCAGCAGGGTCGGGTCAATTTTTATAACTATGATATCAATTATTTTTTTCTTATTTTTTTTAAGGATTGCTTGCATTACCAGCTTGTAACTCAAGTGTTTAGAATGAGTCATTCAATTAGATCGCGGTGGAAATTTTAACGTGAGTTAAGTAAAATGAATTATTAATTTAATTTGATCACATTAATTAAAGATAACTTATATAAGAAAGGTGTCGAATTAATAATTATAATTTGCCAATTTAATCTATTGATAAAAGTCTTCCATTACTTAACCTCATGAATAGTTACCAATGTGTTAAAGTTAAAGTTGTATTAAAGCTTTTGATATAATCCATTTTCATCAATGCATTGATTGAACAAAATTAAGAATGATGGGAACACTGCTTGTACCGTTAGTGTCACAGCCAAATTCATAGTTCAGAATATTAGCGGTTAATTTTTGTTCAGCTAACGGTGATAAACTACAACAATTGATAGAAATTAACAATTGAAATGATGAATAAAACTTTTTAATATATTGTACGAGTCAAAAAATTCCTGCTTTATTAGAAATCATCGGAAAGTTAAACTCATGATTTACCTGGCAGTAGAAATGATTACTTGCAAAATCATGATGACTTTTTTTTTTTTCTCTTCAAAATTTGTTCTGTCATGTTCGGGTAAAGGGCAGAAAATTATAGAATCATCCAATGCTTCTTATTTCTCAATGCATCATCCAAACAAAAATGAGTATTTTCAAGCATAACAAAGAACAATACCCACCAAAATTCAAAATGCTTCATTTCATATTTCTATTCTATTCTCAAGTAATTGAAATTTGAAACTACTTCATTGATATGTAGTAGTACAATACATACTCCTACATCAAATAAAAAGAAGAAAAAAAAAGTTGTCATTGTTTCCATTGAGAGATCGTCAACAAAACACACTACTCTATTAAACTATTCTCTGGAATGCTTTCCAAAGCTGGCCTCCAAGAATTTATGTCCCCATCATATTCACAAGCCTCAGAAATTCTTCCTCCTCTCAACTTCATAACACCAAGTAATTGCTCCAATGAAGTGTGTTGAGCATCATCCTTACATCTCAACATCCTTTTCAACTCTTGCTGAGTCATCACCATTCTAATCCTCACAGTCCCACTTTTAGAATTACCATTACTTCCTCTGTCACCTTCATCATCTTTTTCTATCTTGAACCTTATCTTCTTCTTCATTCTTTGTCCCCGTCGTGGTGCTTCCAACTTGGACGATGGAGATGTCTTTATCTGATCAACTTTTGCTTCACTAGGCTCTAATGGGGTTTCATTAATGTTCTCATGATCTTGTGCTGATATTTTGTTGTTTTTCAAACAGTTGCCCATGTTAGTAATGAAGCATTTAACTCAACAAGAACAAGACAAGGGAGAGAGTCGACACAAAAAAGAGCCATAAATATATATAAAGTGGGGATGAGAAAGCACATGGAGTATCCGGTTGTTGCGCCGGGTATTTGAGATAAAAGAAGCTAAGTGGGGATTTTCTTGCTTGATATCATCATCACCATCAATTATATATATCGATCGTTTTTCCATTCCCATTGTTTTGTTTGTACATATGAATACTTTACTTGTATACCCGTCTGTTACCTTGAACATAAATTAATGTTTATAATAATTTCTATTTTATTTTTAATTAACTTGAGTTACCGGTAACTTTTCATTTGAAAATTCACAAAGTAAAAGTTTATTTGATTTTAAATAGAAATCATTTGTGTTATATGTAACAATTTAAGCTTTTTTTTTTTTTTGGGAAGTTAGTTCATGAGATGAATCATCAAGTGGTCTAGATTTTGATTTTTGTCATCTTATTATTCTAATAGAAAATTAAATTTCTATATAAGATAGGTGAACATATATATTGCTTACGCTGCAAACTATTAGATAAATATAAAACTATTAATTTAGTCTCATCCAACAGTTCAAGTTTTTGGATTGAATTGTTTCTTTGCATGGTATCAAAGGTAATGTGACTAGGTGGTTAATAATTTGATTCCCATCACCTCTATTCTTTTAATAAAAAATAATTAAAAATTGTAAAGTTTTTTGGCACAAGTAGGATGGGCCTGATGTATCGTCCACTCTTCAAGCCTAATGACTCCCGTGTGAGAGGAGATATGTTAAAGAAATATAAAACTATTAATGTAGTTTCACCTAACAATTTAAATTTTTGGATTGAATTAATTCTTTACACAAACAAGCATTAGAAATTTAATGGAATTGGTACACTTTGTTTCAAAATTATGAAATAGGAACTTGATTTAGATATTGAATTATTTATTGGTATGTAATAAGAAAGAGTTGATTCGATTTGGGTTAGAAATTAAATCATTTATTTTTACGTAATAAAAAAGATTTGATTTGATTCGATTTAGGTTTTGTTTTGATTTTAGTTATGTACATATAGAAATCTGCCTGAATCTTTTTAAATTAATTTTTTTGAATGAATTTAATTTATAAATTAACTGTTTAATTTAAATCAAATCAATTAGAAGCATGGATTATTATTCATAGGAAAGTATCATTTGAACTTTATTATGTCATTTTATCTATGTAACACAATATGAGGATTAGCCGTTATAAACGAGTTGAGCTAAATTGAGCACTTAAAGTTCAGTTTTTATTTGTGAAAAAAAGATAAAATTTAAGTTTGACTAAATTTAAGTTTGGACTTGGTTTGCTTAAAAATATGTTTAATTTAAAGTTTGGCTCATACATTTAAAAATAATTTGTGATGGGTTTGTTTAATGGGAAATGATCTGTTTATAATTTTTTTTTATAAATTTATACAAATTGCATTATGTTCTCCTGAGAGAAGATAGTGTGATTAGTGTTCTCCCGGGAGAAGATAATGTAGTTTGTAAGAGTTTGTACACAAAAAAGTTTGTAAATATAACATGTCTAATTCATTTATTTAACTATTCTATGTTTTTCATTAAATATCTTCTTGAAGCGTTTGACCATATGTCCATATCCCTGTTCGTAAGAGATTTTCACGCTAGAAAATAAAATAAAAGAATACTTAAACATGAAAGTAAAGATGTTTGATTGAGAAATATAAAATTATTAACATAACCTCACCCGACAGTTTAAACTTTTGGGTTAGAATGATTCTTTATATCGATCAGATCCAATTTGACTAAGTGATTATGAGTTCAATCCTCACTGCTCATTTTATTAATAAAAATAATTAAATAATATGAAGTTTTTTTTTTTTTTTTGAGATAGTACCGGGGAGGATCGAATACATGCTCTCACCCCCACCTAATGTTGGGTATGGCTCATACTTCGCCGGCTGATGAGGGCCCTAGTTATCGGGTCACCAGAAAGGCAACTGGTGTGGGCCTCTGTTTTATTGTAATTTTCTTAACAGTTTGGGCTTGGGCCCATGAATAGCTGTTGTTAGGGTTTTCTAATCCTATTTGTATTTTTCTTGTAAATCGAGTGACTTGTAACGAGTGGCGGTGAGGTGAATATAGTACAGACAAGCTGGACGTAGCCTATATTGGGTGAACCAGAATAAATCGTTGTGTCTATTATCTCTCTCTTTCTTTTTCGTTTTCGATTTGTGTGATTGTCGATTTTCAACACCTAATACATTATCCACCCTTCAAGCTCAATGAACTCTTGCGTTAAGGGGCATATTATTAGAGGATTATAAAATGATTAGTAGCTTCACCCAAAAGCTTAAGTTTTTGTGTTAAAATATTTCTTCACATAATTATATCTTTCTAAATAAAAATAAAATTTAATAAATATACCTCTTTGGCTCTTTTCTTATTTAAACCTATAAAGCATAAATTAGCTTATTTATATATAATTAAATTTAAAACAAAGCTTGTATTTGTTCGTTTAGTAAAACAAACATACTTAATGGAACATTTAACAAGTTAAATAATACCCAAATAAATCAACTAATTTACACGCGTAAGACAAATTATATTTAGCTTTATGCGTAGTTTCAAATAAAGGGTTACAAGCTCGAAGTTGATGTCCTCAAATCACTGCTCAAAAAGCGGTATATCTCATTGAGCATGAAGGTTGATGGCACATTAGCACCTCGCCGCAACTTAAATATCAATCTGACAACTCTGTTCACCACTTTAATATTGGTCTCCCCTTCTTTTTTAGTTTGGTGGTCAATGTGTTGCAACCATTTTAAAATAGTCAATGTTTTCAATAACTGTATATAACAATGGGTTTTATAAGCGTTATAATGTAAGAAAAATGATTGTGTAATGTTATAGAGATTTGTTTTGCGTGCCGTAATTTTTCTTTTTTCTTCAAACAGTGTGAGCCCCACAAAATGTTGTGTGTGTAGAAAAGTTTGTTGTGTTATGTTAAATGACAAATGCAAATTCCTATAACAATTGTATTTCTTTTTAGGGGTGGTAATTTGGGTTGACCCGCCCCGCCCCGCCACCAACCCGCCAAAAACGGACGGGACGGGTTGACCCGCCAAAAAATATGAGTTGAAAAAATGAACCCACTCCGTTTTATGGTGGATTGGCGGGTTGCGGGTCAACCCACCAATCCGCCAATTAAAAAAAAATAATTAAAATTCAAAAATAAATTATATTTTATGAATTTTTCTAATATTATTTTATTTTATTTCACACTTCTCTATATTAATTTAGACTTTTAGTCTCAATCTTAAATGTATACTAATATTTGTCAAACATTCTTTAGGAATTTATATATAGATAACATTTATCATAAATAAATTTGATATTCTTTATTTTTTTCTAGGAAGTACTAAAATAAAAAAAAAATTGGATATCACAAAAATTTAAGGACTAATCTACCTAATTGTAAAAAAAAAAAAAAAATTATAACCCGGCGGGTCAACCCGTCCCTCGACGGGCTGAACCCGTTTTGACCCACTTCTAGGTGAGACGAGTTGAGGTGAGTTGACGGGTTGGCGGGTTGGCGAGTTGACCCGCCGAGCTCAACCCATATTGCCACCTCTATTTCTTTTATCCAATCCAATTTAATTCGGTTCGAATATTATGAGAGGAAAAATTAATTGGGTGGTTCCTCTCTCTCTCCTTCTTCTTTCTCTCTCTCTCCTCTCTTTTCTTTTTTCTCTTTGCTCGACTCACGTGAGCCGGGTTCACCCAATATTTGCTCTATGAGAGGGAGGACATTTTTAGTGAACCGGGAGCACATGGGTCTCCCTTTCAACTCATGACACTTGGATCAAAAGTTTTACTTTCTCTCTCTTTCGTACAAATTTTTAGAAAATACAAGTTATTTATTGGCTTGTCCCGCTAAATTTTTTATGCATCGGGTGCATATTAAATATTTTCTATGAGAGGAAAATTTTTTCCAATGCTATTTTTTATGGATTATATTTATCTCATTCAATATAAGATAACCCATCTTCCTACACACATAACAAAGATGGGGTCGTACTTTTTTTTCTCTCCAATTATTTGTGAGTCTCTTTTATTATTTTGTTTCACTAACATAAGATAACTTATCTATATCGACGACATAAAAAAAAGATTTCCATTTTTTATTCCGAGAACTTAAACTCAACAGCTCTCATTAAGGAGAACAAGTTACTTGTTATTTAAACTCATAACAGTTATTAACTATTGTATTCCAATTCCAACAAAAACATAACAAAGAAAAAAATAAAATAAACTATTGTCTTTGGATATTGTATAGCAATTTTCAATCCACTTTGAATAATCAATCATATACCTTTTCAATGAACATGCCTTAAATCAAACTGTATTTTATTTTAATCCATCTGCAGCTGACTTTACAACGAGGAGTAGCTTATTCTTTTATGCAAAATCAAACCCAATTGTCATTTGCTTTTTTAACTTGGAACGAATTTAGAGCCTCCAAGTTGTGAAATTAATGCTTAACTTTTAAATATTTTGATTAAAATAACTGGAACTTGCGTAAAGAGAACTAAAAGTAGTCAAACCATTGAAACTTATGGTTACCTACAATGATAACCAAAACAAATGTTGAAGGAAATTCATTTATGGTTACGTACAATGAATGTAGCACAATTTAAGAGTCAAAGCAAATTTATGAGAGTTGGATATGTGAAATGAAACCTCACGTGAAGCAAGGAGGAGATTTGTAGCACAAGATATCTTCAGCTTGAGGACACCATTTATTCTACGCATACTGTATTTGGTCCCATTAAAAATGCCAGCGAGATGGGGCATCTCTTCACATGGGAGATACCTAACGGTTCATTCATCTGTGTTTTCTTACATATATTGTTTCATACAAGATGTTGGAACTTAACCTTGTAGCTTGATTTGCAGTAATTGAGAGACAAATACTATGCTTCCAACTTGAGATTGTTTCATGTTTGGCAAGGTGAGATTTGAGTTATGAGTTCGAGTTATGAGATTCATAATTTTTGAAGAAAGTGTAGAGGTACGAACCCAAAATCAAATTAGTCAAATCCATTAGAGCTTTGTATCACCGGGTGATGTCTATAAAAAAAAAAAAAGAGAGACTAACAATATTGTGCTGCCCATTAAAACTTCGTACGACGGTTGGTATTTATATAAAAAAAAAGTATCACAACTCTAACTAGAATTAATTAAAGAGAAACTAACAATGTTTTGTTGTCCATGTGATCCTACATGACTCAAATCGAAATTTAGTAAAATAATTAATGAACCAATGGATAATATTAAAAAAAATATTAAAAATATCACATGGGACATTCTTAAATTTAAGTAATATCGAAATAATATATATCCTAAAATGTAAAAATAAATAATAAGAGAAAAAATATTTAAAATTATAAGACAAATACCCAACTAATATGTAAAATTTTAAAATGTATAATTAAAAGAAAAATATTTAAAATTGTAAAAAAATACATAATTAATTCAATAAATTTTAAATTTAAATAAAAAAATATAATAAAAAACCTTTTAAAAAGAAAATAAACTAAAAAAGTAAACTATTTGAAAAACTCTAATTTAATATATATATATATATATATATATATATATATATATATATATATATATATATATATTAAAAATATGATGAAGGTTATACTTACGACTTCTTTTTTTACAACCTCTTACAAGATTTTCGTCAATCAATAGTTATCATTTTCGCAAATTAAACTCATTAATTAATTATTAATTCACAATAAATAATTACCTATTTTAACATTCTCTCTCTTTTCCTTTATTACTATTGATCCACCTTTATATGATTATAATTCTCCACATGACATGTGTTGGGAACTCGGTTCCCTCATATCGGCTCAGGGGCCTTTGCGGAAGTCAGTCAATGAGATCCTCGATCTCAGATCTCAGCAATACCTCGGCCTGAATTTCACCAGGTCGGGCAGCGCAGCGAAAAAATCAAAATGTAATCACGAGAGAGAAGGAGAGATAGAACAAACAATTTTAATGTGGGAAAACCTTCTCTAATGAAAAAGTAAAAACTCACAGGACCTAGTTTAGATCAAAAATATACTATGAAAATAATGGTTACAAATAATCAGAATCACCAATGTGGTGGTTAACTCAACCTCTCCAACAATGGTGATAATCAAACTATCCTAGAGATGTTTCACTCAAACTCTCTCTAGAGATCTCTCAAATGCAAAGCATAAAGCTTTGCTCAAACAATCAAATAATTTTCTCAAATTTTTTTCTCTCATTCACTTAACCTAATCTCTACCCACAATTAATGAATATATAGAGGAGGTGAGATCTAAGGTTAGGGTTTTTAAGAAACTCCTCACCGAACTTAGACTTAGCATTAAAAGAATAAGCCAACAACATGATCATGTGAATTTTCAGACGAGAGGATGGAGATCCATAAATTATTGGTGCCGATGCCAATATTAGTTTTCACGTATGTTAAGAAAAGAGTGCAAATTAAACCTTAACGAAAGAGAGAATGAAGGTTCTGCTTGTAATGATTGTTTACATACTGAAAACAAAACTCACATCTCTATCACAAATTATCTGATTATTTTTTAATTTTATATTATATTAGTTTAAAAGTTTTTTCTTTGTATAAATTCACATATAATATTTTTTTAATTTATGATTGCTACCCTGTTTCGTTTTGTTGGCATTGGTTCCTTCAATCCAACGGTTCCTGCATGCTCAGATTGCCATCGGACGACTCAAAAAGACAACGTGTAAATGCTGGGATAGGAGGTAACATGGGATTAACTAACAAAGCTACCTCCGCACATGACATTGAATCCATCACGTGCTTTGCACGTGATCATCCCTGATAATGTGGCTGGCATGGCAAGTTGCAATGCCATGTCTTTCTCCCTCATCTCTTTCTGTAAATGACTGAACTGAACTTTGAGTGTTTGGATGAGTGAAGAGGTGAAAAGGGGTTTGTTAGAATACTAAGAATTATATGTTAGAAATAATTTATAGTATCTTAACTTTTCCATATTCCTTTGTGTTTCATGATTTTGTTTTCTTGTTTTTGCAGTTACAATTTTTAACCTTAATATTATTGTTATTCACCTAAATCCCTGTATTATTCTCTGCAGTCCTTTTCTGCACATTGCAATTTGTTTTTTTTTTTTTTCTCTCTCTCCCCCTTCCTTTTTTGTTCTTTTTGGGGGTTGCATTGAAGCTTTTTCTTTGAGATTCTGAAGTCAAGAACGTGTGAACCAACTTCTTAATGTTCACTTTGGGGTTCATTGTCTTGGTCGGTGACAAGCTGCAAATATGAAAGGAGTACACTCTCGCAGTCTCGTTCTTCAAATTACCGTGTTTCTTCTTCTGTGTATGTGTTATTTCAGATATCTTCATGACCCATAACTGCTAGTTTAACTTTTATTATTTAAATTGTCACTTAGCATTTCATGTCTGCATCTTTGTGGTTTGGTCCTTAAATTTCTGATAGATATAACAATGAAATTGCTATAAGCATTGGAATTGTGTTTTTTTTTTTTTTGGATAAACCACGTGTATCCTTCACCGGAGGCAATTCTATTTGGAAAAGGTTCAATATTAAGGCTTTAAATCCCTTCCAAAGATGGTACTGGGGAGGATCGAACACATGCTCTTATCTCCGGCTGCTTAGCTTCCATGCGCCCTGAGCTACCATCATTTGGTGTATTGGAATTGTGTTTGCATCTTAAGTAGAATAACGTATATTATTGATGTTATATGCTATAGGTTCAAACCATGATGTAAAGGGTAAACATGATCCAATTTTCCAAGGCAGTGTGCATCTTTTTTCACACTGTAGATTGTCAATGAGCTACCAGAAATAACAGCCAAACGCTAAGAAATGTTGACTTTTTCCCCAATTAAACTCATTTACAAGAACTGAATGTGTCATTCAAGTTGACATGCTGTATGATAGTATTGCATGCACTTAATAAAATTAAGCAGAGTGCCAGATATCTGAATGCTGAACATGAGTCTATTTATTTTGGGGCCTTGGGCAATGTATGAGTATTACATTTTCATCTAGAAATATCACTCCTTGAGCTGGAAAAATTGCCTCTATGCAGTTATGAGCAAGTCCCAGGGCTCCCTAATCAGTGGTGCAAAATATTCCCTTCCTATCACAACTAAGGTTGATGCACAGCCTCCTGATATCTCTCCAAGTTCACAGCCACAGCCCTTTATTCCTCTTGTAGCTCCTTCCCCATTGAGACCTTTCACGAATAATTCTGTGCCTAAGTTATCAGGTATGGTTTACTTTTCCTTTTCAGTTTGTCCATGTGAGACCTTATAATGTGAATTTTTGTTTCCTAAATTATTTTCTTCACAAATATTGCTCCCCCTTTGGCACATTATAGCTGTGGGTGAATAAAGGGGAGCAGAGACTAATCCTAGGGAGGCCAAGACTCAAAACTAGATTAATATATGTCGTCAAATATTTATGTCAAAGAGAAACTATATTATACAATATAGGCTTGAAGAATGAGGAGTTGTGAAGGGTGCAAAGTGAAATTAGAGTGCAGTAGCAGAAGTGAAAGTGCAGCACTATTGAGTTTGGTGCTGTGTTAAGTTGAGAAACAGTATGTTTTTGTATTGGGCTGCGGTGCGTGAAGACTGGTGCTATTTTTGCTATGAGTAAAAGATGAAGTGCAGGTGCAATGAAGTCAAGATTCGGAGGCATTGGTACTGTGCATGGATTCGTGTGAGTGCTGTGGTGGTTGGTTCATCCACTTTAGTGGCGTGTAACTGTGTATTGCAGTATTAGTGAGTTCAATTTGTTGTGTTAATGTTGATCATGGATCTGTGATGAAGGTGCTGCGACATGGGAAGATGGTGCAGGCAGTTTGAATCCTTTCGGTGGGGTGAGATGCAGGACAAGGGTGACCAATAACCTACATATGTTAAGTATATAATAAAAAATGTGGAAGTTGGGCTCCCACCGCCGAATAAATCTTTGGTGCTACTGTTGCACCAAGATACAGTACATCCCATTAATGAGAGCATTACACATCATAGGAGAGAGAAAAAATTTGGCAGAGAAAAGAAAACTTTAGCTGACATGTAATATTTTTATTGGTGGGATGTACTGAATCTTTGGTGCAACAGTAGCACCAAAGATTTATTCCCCACCGCCTAAGGAGAAAAGCATATCTGGATAAATGAAGAGTGAGAGTCTCTTGTGACAAAGTTATGTCTCAGAAATGTTTTGGGTATCCGTGAGCAATGGGGTACCTCTACAATTATTCCTAGCTTCATTATATGATTAAATTCACCATTGTGGATGAGACTATACAAGGCGTCTTGCTAGAAAACTGTGAAATCACTTCATTTTTCCTTTAAAATGCTACTGCACTTGCATTCCTAGTACACATGCTTTGAGAATCTTTAATTTCAAAGGACCCCCCCCCCCCCAAAAAAAAAATAAAAAAAATAACAACAACAACAACTCTCTCACACACAAAAAACACCACAAAGAAAAATAAAGAATAACACTCTTTAAGTGCTTGTCTTGAAATGCTTTGAATTGCAAATCCTTCTGGTTGCTGAGACGACCTAGAATTCCTTTTTACTTCCAGGCCTATGTTCATTGAATTTCTCAGCTGCTCAAGATGTAATGAGCACAACTGCTACTGATTGCTGGACTTCCTTTGCCCCATATTTGGCAAATGTTGTATGTTGTCCTCAATTTGATGCCATGCTGGTGACCCTCATAGGGCAGTCAAGCAAATACTCTGGAGTGCTAGCTTTGAACACAACTCATGCTAGTTACTGCCTCTCTGATGTTCAGAAGGTCTTAGTCAGTCAAGGAGCAAATGAGGACCTAAAAACTATATGTTCAGTCCATCCTGCAAATCTCACTGAAGCCTCTTGTCCTATTGTATTTGTTGATGAATTTGAGAGCATTATAGACTCTTCACGACTTCTGACTGCTTGTAGAAAAATTGATCCAGTAAATGAGTGTTGTGACCAAGTTTGCCAAAATGCTATATATTCTGCTGCAAGAAAAATTGCCTTGAATTATATGTCTAATTCAAATGGAAACCATAGCTTTCCTGGGCTGACAACTAGGATCAATGATTGTAAGAATATCGTCCTTCGCTGGCTGGCTAGTAAACTCGATCCATCCACTGCAAATAGTGTTTTTAGAGGACTTTCAAACTGCAACCTAAACAAAGGTGAGCAAGAGGAAAAAAGGAGAAAAGAAAAGGAAAATAAATTCTCATACATCATATTTGATTATTACACTTTTGGCTAATTTATTGGAATATAAAGCATAAATCTGACATGTTGATGTTCAATGTTATTATAATACTTCATTCAGTATGCCCGTTGGTTTTTCCAAATGTCACAAGTGTTGTGAAAGAATGTGGAAATCTGATAAGTAACCAAACATCTTGCTGCAAAGCCATCAAAAATTATGTGTCCTATTTACAAGAACAGAGCTTTGTAACCAATCTGCAAGCCTTGAAATGTGCTGCATCACTTGGAAAGAAGTTGCAGAAAGCAAATATCTCCAATAATGTTTATAATCTTTGTCATATAAGCCTGAAGGACTTTTCTCTTCAAGGTTGGCATTGTTATATTTCCATTGCTTAGGAAGTTTTACCCTTTCTCCACTTACTGAGACTGATCCTTGTCCTGTTCTGCAATTTATTGTTAATGGTCGTTGGATGTTCTCATGGATGAATCAGTTGGATCACAAGGTAACATTTATAGAACGAAATTTTTATTGACATATTGCTTTACCATGCTGCTGAAATGAGAATAGAATTTTTACACGTTCTCCTTTCTCATCATAATTACAGTGGTTATCTGAAATGAATACTTTCCATTTTTTAAATATTTTAATTTCACTTAGGAATGAATCTTAATTGGAGTCAAATGTTTTAAATAAAATGTAAACTAACTTCATTTAAGCACTGCAATGAATAAATTTTCAATTTTTCGCACCATTACTTAAACCGAGATACTTTAAGTGAAATGACAGTGTATATTTATGCAGTTTACACATAAGATTCTTGTGGATACTGCGTCTAATTTTCATTAGTGTTGTATTATCTAAAACTCAATCATTTTGATTTCATCTAGAATCTGGCTGTCTTTTGCCGAGTCTGCCGTCAGATGCAGTGTTTGATGGAATTTCAGGGATTGGATTCATTTGTGACCTTAATGACAACATTGTAGCTCCATGGCCTTCAACATCATACCCGCTTTCCTCATCATGCAATAGAAGTATGTCTATGCTCCCCACATATATCACCCTTTCCCCTTCTACAGCATTGAATTGTCTTTTCCTTGTAATATTTCTACTGTGACCAAGGCCATAAATGAATATATCTTCACTCTTTGTGCTACGGCTAATCCATTTGTTCCTTGAATTTATGGCATTGCAGCTACAAAACTTCCATCCCTTCCTACAGCTACATCTTCACAAAATGGTAAGAACCATCGTCCACACCATTGTATTGGTACGAACTAGTTTTTCAGGTCTGATCTTTTCTTCATTTTCAAAGCAATGATAATTGTAAGATATATAAGGTGCATTGTCTCTTCTTGCCTCTATGATTTTTTTAATCATTAAAGAGGTAGATGTCTAGAGCAGTGATAAAGTTGTTTCTCTGTGACTCAAAGGTCACGGGTTCGAATTTGGGAAACCGTCTTTTTACAATTATGTAAGGATAAGGATAAGGCTGTATACAAAAATTTCCCTCACCTCACCCTTGCTAGTCAGAGTTTATTGGGGAGTGGTTTTTTCAAAGAGGTAGATGTCTAATATAAGGGCTAAGAAACCAGTTTGTATTTTGATTTAATGTGATGGAGATGAGTGATGACTCACTTTATAAGTGACAGCAGGGGAATGAAGGGGTGGAATCAATAAAAATCTATCTTGACTGTACCAAAAAAAAAAAAAAATCTCGAGAGAATGTAGAAGTTGACACGTGTGTGCTTTCTTATGGTGGTGTTTAACATATGTATGATGTGGTGTATTGAGTAACACAAATTTATAAGGGAATTGTAAGCTAATTGAGAGGATCATGATTAATGTTGGATCTGTAAGTTAGCAGAGTCTATAGAAGAGACAATCACACGGGATGACATATCATTTACACACAAAGAGAAGACAATGAGAGCGGTGAGTGTACAGTGACAATAAAAGAGGCTAGGGTTCCCCCAGTTACCCTTGGATGGATTGCTATGCATTCACATTGATGAGTGTCTAATTTGAATTTCCATTTGTTGCAGGTCTTTTCATAAATACCTTGGTTTTGCCTCTCCTCTTCACCTCTGTCTTATTTCTCAAGAGACTTCTTTAACCTTGGAGTTCTCTATATTTGAGTTCTTTTGGCTACAGGGTTTTTTCAGGTAAGTTGGCTATTCTTTGAGGCTTTAGGGAAGGACTAAAAGTCCTTATTCCTATCCAATCATCCAATATATTTATATTGTCAATCGTTAATGAGTACAGAAATACAACCTTGAGATAGTTTTTCTGGTTGATTCTTGATTGTATTATTACCGTATCATTGTTTCAATATTCTTTGGAATTGTAATAAGTTTTATTTTTTATAAAGAAATGATATAAATATAAAAAAAAAAAAAAAAAAATTATCTTAAGTTCTTTCTGTGTTTTATTTTTCCTTTTTCACTAGATAACGATAGTGTTGCACAATTAGCTGCTTACAAAAACGAATTGGAATTCCCTTACACGAGATTGTCATACATGGTCATTTGATGGAGACAGAGTGAGACAAAAAAATCCCTATGAGACTGTCATGCATTAGTCCTTGAACAAAAGTCCCACGAATCAAATGATGTTGTCATACGTGGGTCTCACGTGAGAGATCTGATTCCAATTTTGCGGTTCAGCTTATAGGATTGATTTTGTGTGGTGCTGCGGTTGAGGTTCTCGCCCCTTTCTACATCAAAAACATTGGTTAGCACTTAGCACTATATATGCTGTGACTCCGAAAATGTAGAAATTGAATTTGTGATTTATTCAATGCGGTGTTATCATTTTAAATACGGGGGTGCTTTTATTTTGCCACGCCGAAAATTCTAAAACATCTTGCACTTACGTACTTACCATGACATTTCCGTTCTTTCATTTTACTATTATTATTTTTTCTGTTGAAATTTGAATAGCACAGATGTCGTGAACGAGAACAATAACTTCAATTCATTTTCTAACACAAATATCAATTTTGGTTACGGTTAGAAGAGTTAAAAAAATCGTCATCGATTTCGTCATAGTAGCAATTTTATGAATGACATGTTGAGGAGTTAGCGGGTATTTTTTAATATGATCCAGGACCACCAGGGTCATTCCATTAAGAAAGTGAATTTTTTTCATTTTCTCTCTCCTCTCTCCTCAATCTTTTCTCTCTTTCTCTCACCTCCGTCTCACCAATTATTCCCTGGGTTGGAGCACACAAAACCAGCTCAGAGTTAGTGGCACCAAATTCACACCTAGTCTGAATTTGATTATAATTTGAATTGGCTGCACACACACACATATATATATATAGGGTTTTATAAGAGTTATGTTGTAGAAAAAATAATTGTGTAATGTTATAGAGATTCGTTTTGCGTGCTTTAGTTTTTTTTTTTTTTTTACTTAAAAAAGTGTGGGCAATATTGTGTGTGTAGGAAATTTTATTATGTCATGTTAAAAGACAAACTAGAACCCCATATATATATATATATATATATATATATATATATATATATATATATATATAGAGTTTTATAAAAGTTACGTTATAGAAAAAGTGATTGTGTCATATTATAGAAATTTGTTTTCCGTGCTTTAATTTTTATTTTTATTTTTTGCTTCAAAAAATGCGGGCCCCACAAAATGTGTGTGTAAGAAAAGTGATTATATCATGTTGCATGATGAATATAAACTCCATATATATAATAAGTATTTATATTTTTTATGCATCGAAAAAAAAATTCTTGCACATGGGATCCATCATGAGAGAAGAAAAAAAAAGAGTAAAGTATTTTTTTGGGTCTTAAATAAATATTATGGGCCAATTTAATTCCTTAAAAAAAAACTTGTGTTCCTTTAAAATTTAAAATAAATTTATGTTAGTTATTTTGAGGGACTAACATGAGTCTCTTTCGAATTTCAGAAGAATCACAATTTCAACTAATTACATCTATTTTGAAATTTAGAAGTCCATAAGTTAATTTTTTTTTTTTTTAAGAATTAAAATGAGTCTGTAATTTTTGTGGGGATCCAAAAATTTCTGTACTAAAAAAAAAAAAGTTGCAGCGCGGGTTTCGTTAAGTGTGCCGGAAAAAATTTGTTGTTCCGCATAAGAAACATAAAAACATATAGGACTTTGTCTTAGACTTCAACAATAGAGACGTGTAACTCTTAGATTCATAATCTAAGCATCTCCATAGTCCAAAAATGTGTATAAACAATGAGAATGATGTTCCATGAACAGCCAGCTACGAAGAAACATAAGATAAAATAAAACACCACAGTTGATCTTACGTGTAATTTCGGCGGCTAGAAATTTTTAAGCAAATCATCTCTTTTAAACACAAATAATTTGCTAAATAAAGTTTAAAATTTTCAATACAAATATGATAACTTGTCTTTTACTGCTTGAATTACGTAAATTACCAAATAAAAAATAAAAAATAAAAAGTTGTGACACACAATTTTATTTCTCACTAGTAGAAGAAATATTTCTCCTATAACATGAGAATTCTTTCCCCTAAAACTTAAATCTGATATATCAGATATACATGTTAATATGGTTATTGAGTCAAGTGATGTTAAGTTCTCTGAAGATGTATTTTCGTATAACAAGATATGTGAATCAAGTGGTAATAATGAGAATAACGTTGTGAGACCTCGAGATGCTACAACTAGTGTTGATCTGCAGAGGATGAACTAGACGTAGTAAGAGGCAAATGACCGTCACACCCTTTGGACTTGATTTTTTGACATATCTGTTAGAAAATAAGCCTCGAACGATAAAGAGGCTATAACATCCCCAGAAGCATCATTCTAGGAAGAGGCTATCAATAGTGAAATTGAAACTATCCTGTCAAATCATACTTGGGAACTGGTAAACCTACCTCCTGGCAATAAACCTCTAGGAAGTAAGTGGGTCTTCAAAAGGAAGATGAAGGAATATGGCACTATTGATAAGTATAAAGCTAGGCTTGTGGTAAAAGGCTACAGACAGCGTGAAGGTCTCAATTACTTCGATACTTATTCACTTGTTACAAGAATTACGTCCATTAGGATGTTGATCGCAGTAGCTGTGTTGAATGGGTTAGAAATACATCAAATGAATGTTAATACCACCTTCTTAATTTATGACCTAGATGAAGAGATCTATTTAGAACAACCTGAAGTTTTCGCTGTCCCAAGACAAAAACGGAAAGTTTTTCGCTTAATAAAATCCCTTTACGGGTTAAAACAAGCTCCAAAGCAATGGCATGCGAAATTTGATAAAATTATGTTATCAAATGGTTTCCGTATAAATGAATGTGACAAGTGTGTCTATATTCGGAATACTGAGAAAATATTTGCCATAGTTTGTGTTTATGTGGACGATATGTTGATAATGAGTAGCAATAATCAAATGATTGAAGCTACTAAACAATTACTTACAAGTAAATTTGACATGAAAGATATAGGGATATCAGACGTTATCTTGGGTATTAAAATCCATAGAACATCTGAAGGGTTGGCTTTGTCACAGGCTCATTACATTACTAAAATTCTTGATAAATTCAAAAGTTTGAATATAGCTCCTGTGAAGAACCCCATAGATTTTAATCTTAAATTATCAAAGAACATTGGTAAAGCTGAAGCACAAAAGGAATATGCTCAAGTGTTAGGCTGTCTTATGTATATTATGAACTGTACCAGACCTGATATTGCTTATGCAGTGAATCTGTTAAGTCGCTTCACTAGTAATCTAAATGAGTTTCATTGGAAAGCTATGGTAAGATTTTTGGGATACTTGAAACACACTCAAAGCTTTGCTTTGCATTACAAAAAGTACCCTGCAGTTATAGAAGGGTATTGTGATGCAAACTGGATCACTGGCTCCAGTGACACTAAGTCCACAAGTAGATTTGTGTTCACCCTTGGTGGGGGTGCTGTGTCTTGAAAATTGTCCAAGCAGACTTGCATTGCAAGGTCAACCATGGAAGCAGAATTTATTGCTTTAGATAAAGCCGATGTGGAAGCCGAACGACTTCGTAATTTTATTGAGGATGTTCCTAATTGGCCAAAGCTGGTACCAGCCGTATGCATACATTATGATAGCCAAGCTGTTATTGGAAAGGCAAGAACGTCATGTATAACGGTAAGTCTAGACATATACGTCGTAGACATGATACTATGAGACAACTACTCTCGAGTGGAATCATTACAATTGACTATGTGAAGTCTAAAGAGAACATAGCGGATTCGTTGACCAAAGGGATTCCTAGAGAGTTGGTTGAGAATTTATCGAAAGGAATGAGTTTAAGGCCTATCAATTGTTGATCATTGCGGTAACTCTACCTTGATGAGTGAAGATCCCACGAACTAGGTTCAAAGAAACAAATAAGTGATGATCGATTGTTAACACTGTAGAGTTTCTAAAACTCATACTCATTCCTATGAAAAGACAGTGTATATATAAAGGTAAGCATTTAGAATTTTAATGGTTTCTTAATTTGATGTGATTAAATGATGTAAGGTAAGTTACATCACAAGGAATCACCTATGTGAGTGTGAAGTGAGGGCCGCTTCTATGAGAATTTATAAAGGTCGATTCTTTTGAACACTGACAGAACCAGACAGGTGTCCAGGGCTAAAATGGGTACAACAATGAGGACCAATAATGTTAGAGAAGAAATTGCGTTACTCCTATTGTCTTGGTATACACTTAAAGTTGACGGTTCAAGTCGTCATGACCACCGAATGACCAAGTATACCCGATAGGTTTCACTAGAGAAGGTTCAAAGGTGACCCCTACCTATCTCGATGCAATTGTTTCTCGCTAAGGAATCGCACCTTGCATTCATGTTCATTTGCATATAGTCATTATGAATTGACTTCTTATCCATGTGGGGGATTATTGGATTTTGTATCTAATTCCTGTGGGTTATGAATAAGAAGTGGGTTAAGGAAGGAAAGAAAGAAGTAAGGTGAAAGGGAAGTCCCACATTGGACAAGTGGTGAGAGATGGAAAGGTCTATAAACCTCCACATCACTCCTGTTATATGCTAGTACCTTTATGATATGCATGTGGTGTTTCACCTATACGGTAAGTCTGAGTATATGGTACATACA